TTATAACGACGCACTATGCAAAATGCAATCGGGGCTGCCTAATTTAGTTTTGACTTCCAGGCCAATCAAAGTGGTTTCCTGTCCCCTGCTGCTGGAATGAGCTGCAAAGGGTGGGGGTCAACAGGAGACAGCCCCTCGCCTTCAGAGGGCTTTGATTTTTGGCTCTGGAGACCTCCGTGCCCCAAGAGCGCAGTGGTAGGGCTCCCAGTGGCAAGTACTGGGGAGGTTTCTGTGCTCGACCCGGTGTGCCAGGGAGGGTTCTGCTCCGGCATACACATGCCTGAACTGACTGCACCCACCTGCTCGGAGGTTTGTAGTGTGGCAGGGGGGCGCCCACTCAGCCATAGGTTTCTGTTGCGGGGACGTCCAGGCAGAAGAGCTGGGCTCCACTAACAGTGTGTTGCTCGTGACATGGCAGGGCTTGTGAGAGCCCGGGCAGTGTCCGAAGACCCAAGCCTCACTAGGAAAGTCTCACCACGCTCTGCAGAGTGGCAAGAGCAGCCAGCACACTATCTGGAAACACCCATCACTCCCCACCACTGCCTGCTCCTGGGAGGAAAGGACAAGGGCTCAGCTCCCCCAGGGCAAGACTGGGGATGGAGGAGTTTCTCCCACATCCTCCATGCTGCTGTGTTGCGCTTGGGCTTTCTGGGGCAGGGAGTGCCTTTCCCTGGCAGTGCCAACCCACCGCCCTCCCTCTGCAACCCTGGAGAGTTCTTCAAAGGGCAGCCCACCTTAGAAGCCTAATGTAGGTGCTTGGCATCACGCCTGGAGGGGTTCAAGCCTGCTTGCAGAGGGAGCCAAAGACACCTACTTGTTTTTTCTTAACCTCATGGATGAGCACAACTCCAGGGACATACAAATAAGAAAGGGGCAGATGAACGATGTTCAGCGGAGCTGGTGCCACCGAGATGCTGTCTTGTGATGACCTCCCCAAAATCCATTGGTAAGAAGCAGAGCACCTACAGAGGAGTCTGGGTTTTAGGGTGGTGGTGCATCTTTAGGGTGGTGGTGCATCTCTTGAAGCTTTCAGTTTCCCATCTTACTCCTAAAATCTTCCTAGATTTTATCCCTAAGCCTGACGGGCTTTGAGAAGGCAAAAGAGAGGCTGGACTGGGCTGGGGCACTCCAGTGGATCCCAAGGAGGAGGTTTGTGCTGGAGCCCTGAAAAAATGTCTCCTGAGAGCTGTACCAGGACATCGTGGAAGGGGGTGCTTTCCACTAGCCGGCACAGGGGTGCTCTGGAGGGGCGCAGGAGAGAGGCCCCCAATGTGCTTTGGGGGTTGGCTCCAGCCAAAGCCTTCCAGAAGCACCACCTGGATGTGGGGCAGCTGTTGGGCTGTGCCGAGGCGTTCCTGGGTCGTTGGATGCATCCTGTCACAGGTTCGTCCCGAGGTAAATGGGTCTGTTTGATAAACACCTCGCAGCTTCTCTGATCGACAAGCCTTTGGGTTTCCGGTGCGCACGAGCACAAGGTGAACTTTCGGTGGATATTTTCTGCTACGGGCGGTTCTGCAAACGTGTGTGTGAGTCACTTCACCCACCCTTGACACCAGAGGAACCGCTCACACGAGTCCAGTCACTCATGTGTGCATGAGCGCTCGCAGGACATCACTGTCCCTCCCCGCTCCTGGGGCCACTGGCGCTGCCCCGACCATTGCTGGACTCTCCACGGGGATCCCAGCCGCCAAAGCCAGCCCTCCCAGTGTGTGACTGGAGCAAACAGCACTGGAAATTGGGCTCTCTGACTCCAGGATTAAGACATAATTTTTAAATAGCTCGTTTGAGGTCTTTGCTGGTTTATTTGTTTAATAAACGCACTTAGTTAGCCGGAATCCCAGGCTCCAGGGGCTTTCTTTTCTCTGCAGAGGAGATAAGAAAAGCATATTTCGTTATCCAGTGAGTCATTTTTTCTGCTCTTTAATTATGCATTTGTGCTATTATCAAGCGTATTCAGCTCCTAGATGCAAACAGCTCAAACTACTCACAAAGCCTTAACTTTTGCGGCTCCAAAAATGATCAATCACTGTTATGAAGGGCAGGGCAGGCAAAGACAGGGGAGACGAGGTGGGGGACAGCCTATTCCCGGAGCCGGCTGGGCAGCCTGGGCCGCACTGGTGAGCAGGCACACATGTGAGTGCCGCTGGGGAAGTCAGCGGTGATTTTCTCCATGAGTAAGCGTTACCATGTGCAAATTCGAACATCATTTTCTCGGCCCAGGAGGAGGCGGACAGGCCGGGAAGGGAGCGTGGAAGAGCTGTAGAAGGGGATAAAAAGGGCTCAGAAAATGGAGGGGGAATAGGGTAAGATCAATCGTGGCGATGCGGCTGCAACATCCTTCCACGTAACAGGACCTGGGAGCATTTTATTTGCAGGAGGACGTCAGGCTGCCGTCCCCGCGCTCCCCGCCATGTACTCGCAGCTTCAGGTTTTCACTCCAGGTACCGAAACAGGAGCCATCAGCTCCTGAGCTCTAGTGTAAATCTTACCCTCCACCCCAAAAGCAACATGTAGGTGCCTCGGTTTGGGTTTTCCCCAGCGCGTATACTTGACTGGAGGGGTCACGGAGTTAATCTGTGGTACAGCAGATGCCAGGACCTGTTTCCCTGGAGGTCGCCGAGAGATGACTGACGTGGGGGAAGCACAACAGGGGGATTACAGGGGAGAGGGTGAGGGGAGGATGATGGAGGAGCATCCATCATCCATGGATGTCTTGGGAAATGGAGACAAGCAGGTGGAGACAGGGCCAGAGGAACATCAAAGCCTTTGGAGCAGGGAGGTGTTTCTGGAGCAGGTGTCCTGACAGAGCACTGGCTTTTTTTGTGGGGGTCCTCTGCCTCCGTGGGTGGCACCAGCCCACAAGGCAAGATGTTTTCTGCTCCCTAGTCCCTACTCTTACATTTCTGCCAGCTGCCTGCCGGGACAGCAAGGGCTGTGGATGCCCTCTCCTCCGCAGGGCTCTCTGCTGCAGACCTCAAATGTGGGCTGGAGTGAGCCTGGGCTTTTCTCCTGCCCCCTCAGCCCTCCCTGCTGCGGAGCACAGCACTGTGGCATGGCTCTCCAGCTCCCCAGAGCTGCTCCCGGTGCATTGGACACATGCCCCTCCTGCTCTGAGGGGACTAAGACGAAGGGGGAACCCCGGGCACGGGAATGGCAGCCGCCCTCCTGCAGCTCCTTGGAGGAGCCTGCCGCCCCCTGGGCTTGGCACAGCCGTCCCTGCTGGCACAGGGCAGCCAGGCAGGGCGATGCCCAGCAGCCAGGCATGTGCGCAGGTGTGTGAGGGGCAAGGGAGGGAGCGAGCGGCTGGGCATGTTGGCTGGAAAGGGAAGTGAAATCACGGCAGGCATGGAACCAGTGGGCAGCGACCGGTTTTGGTTGGGACTTTCACTCGTCCAGAGCCCCACGGCACTGGTGCGGAGGGCTGAGGTGGTGCTGGAGCTGCTTCGGCACTGCCCTGCTGCAAACCATTCTCCTGGGTGGATGCTGCCGGCAGGGGGGGGGACGTGGCAGGGGGGCGGGGGGGTGCCATAGAGCAACTCCTGCCCTGAGGGACATGGGGTGCTGAAGAGCCGTGCTTGAGCTGCAACTCAGTGAGGGGAGCTGGTGTCTGCGTCTCACCTGGGGCTTCAGGGGGTGGAGTGCAGAGGCTGCAGGCTTAGCTTGCCCAAAATCCATTGGAGAGGGGCAGATATATCCAGGTACCAAGTCCTCTGCTGAGCTCAGGTGAGCTCAGTTGCCCAGTGAGGACACCTGGTACTCTGTCACCTCGAGCCAGAGCAACTTTTGGCTTTTCTTCTCCCCTCTCAGCCATGGTCCAGGACAGTGAGTAGAAGAGACCTTGGTAGAAAGAGCCCAGAGGCTGTAGCTGCTGCAAGGTTGGAACCCCAGCAGTAAAGCCTCATTAGGGCTCTCCTGACTGGGGCAGGTCTCCTGAGCTGCTTTCTTCAGCTGAGAGCAAACAAGCAACTGTAGCTGGTTCCTTTCTTTCCTACGGGGTGAAGGAAAAGGGACATGAGTTTTGTTTGGTAAGGACAGAGAAGAGCCACCTGCAGCACTGAAATCCATCACTTACCCACTTCAGATCTCAGGTATCAGGCTTTGACGTATGGGTACTGGTGGCAGGTTTCTCCTGCTCATGACCAGGAACACCTAAGACCAATAAGAGTTTATTTAGTCCCTTCCAAGTGTGCGGGGACTGGACTTGCTTGGTGTGACCTGCTTTGTCCGTGCCCTGGGCAGTCACGGAACTGAGCCAGACCTTAACTCCAGAGGAACAGGACATGGTGCCAAGGGGCTGGGAGGCTCCTTGCCAAGGGTCTAGGTCTGCAATGCAGAGGATGGAGAGAGCGAGGTGATGGAGAGCACACACCAGCTGACCTGCCTGCACAGCAGTCACCAACAGGCTGTGTCCCAGGGACAGTGGGAGCTTTTAAAAGAGGAAACCATGGTGCCCCTGCTCTCTTTTTCTCCTTTGGTCCTTCTCTGCATTTTCCATTCAAGCCAGATCCGTGGCCCTGGGACAGGGTCTTGTAAAGACCTGGGCAGAGGAAAGCCTCCTGTAAGCACCAGATGACACTGAGGGGGCTTTTTGCTGGCTGGCAAGGGAGGGTGCAGGCTAGGGTACATGTTGATGGCGATGTACGGGTGGGCTGAGGAACGGCAAAGGCCAAGGAGGTGACACCATTGGGCTGGGGCACCGTGCTACTGGGCATGGGGTGCTGCTTGATTGGGGATTTTGGAAGTGTATTTCGGAGAAGAGGGGTAGTTTGAGGGCGCGTTGCACAGGCAGGCAGGGGTAGGGCTTTGGTGCTTGCTCTCCTCCTCCCGGGTGAAGATCCGCCCCAGGGCAAGCGCAGCGATCGAGATCCCCAAGGGAGACGGCGCAGCTTGACAGACTGTATCTCCCTCTGCCACGGGCCCCAGGGCGCTGCAATTTCACACTCGGGCAGCCCCTTTGTCAGCGTGCCATGTGGGAGCAGGGCTCTCGCTCCCTCTCCGCCATGTCCTCATCAGGAAAAGCCGCCACTGCCTTCTCCTGCCTCTCTTCCCAGTGCTTCGACCTCCTCACCAGGTCCTGCGTCAAGTGCTCCGACTTGTTCAAGGACAACACAAGTAAGGGGACATGGGCGGACGGGGCCCGACCTTCCTGGGGATGGGCAGTGGTGGGCTAAGGGGGCTGAGGGCACGCCAAGGGTGGGCAGCGGAGGGGACCTTCTCCTCTGGATGGTGATGGAGGATGGAGCGTTGCCCTCACCTGGAGGAGGAGGGAGGAAGAGGGAAGCCAGTTCCAGCAATGGGAACGTGGTACAGGGAGGAGGGAGACGATCCAGCTTGGCACAGGGGTCACAGCTTGCCCCAGGAGTGACCATGGGAAGAGCAGGACATCCTCACCTCCCACCACCCAGGCATGGCAGCAGGTGGGACAAGAGTCTTGCTAGGCAGGGGACAGTTCGTTGCAGGAGATGGGTGGCTAGCGATGCAGAGCCACTCTCCTTCCCCACCATCGCAGTCCTGAGGCTGGACAGATGCGTGGGTAATGCTGCTGCCCTCCTTCCCTCGCCCCAGCTCTCCCCCTCCTGACACTGCTGGCATCTCGCCCCACAGCAGAACCTGCCCATGCGGCACCCACCTCCACCCTGACGCCCACCCTCCCATCAATGGAACTGCCCAGCACCTTCCTGATCATTGGGGTCCCAGCAATAGTGGGATTCATCCTGGCTCTGGCCATCTGGGGCTTCCTGGCCTGCAAGGTGGGCAAGCAGAAGAGGAAGAGGAAGGTGGCAGACGAGGAGGCTGAAGGTAGGGGACCTCTTGCTTTCCCTGTCACAACATCCCAAGGCTCAGAGGGCAGATGGGTTCACTTGCTGCTGGCTCCCCTGAGGCATAGCCTTGTTGAGACTGGCTCCTCCACCTCGACATGGGCTCCATGGACACACCAGGGCATTTCAGGGTAGCTGAGCCACCCCCGTTCTGTGTCCCCTGGGAACCCACACCTGCACCTGGCTCCCAGCATGACCCCACTGAACTGTCCCTCTCTTTGCTGGGTCTCCCTGTGCCTTTACTTGCTTAAAGCATCCGCTGGCACTGTCCTCTTTCCACAGGGGACATGTACAGAGCAGTAGCAAGTTGTCTGCCCCTCTGCCCCGGTAGCTGGAGGGCCATGGATGGAGCAGGGGCTGCAGGAACGGTGGTGGATGTCTGAGGACGGCTCCAGAAGGAGCCTCTCTCCACAGCGCTGCAAATGGGGGTCCTGTTTTGACCGCTCAGCCTGGCATTGCCATTTGGGATACCAGGTGCCCTCCAATGTGCACCCCAAAGACCCCAACGGTGTCAGGGCCAGCCCCATTGGCAGAATGCTGGAGCACCACACAGGGTTGTCCCCAAAGGCCTCAGAAATAGGGCTGGGGGTGAGCGACAGGGCTGAGCCTTTCCTGGCAGAGTATTTCCAGGAGGGTGAGGCCGCTATACCCTGTGATGGCCCATCTTTTTGGTCCTCCTCCGGGGACCCCCACCCTGGCTCTGACTCAACCCTGGCCACTCTTCTTGGAAATGGTCTTGCGTGGCTTCACCACTCCTTGTCCTTGGGCAGGGGGTATGGCTCCCTGAAAAAAAACCTCAGGGGATCCTGGCACCCATCACCGCCCGGGTGGGTGCCTTTGGGGGGCAGCAGGGCCGGGGGCAGCTGATCCTTGTGCCCGGGCTTACCCACATGCTACCAGCGGTGCCGACCAGGTGACTCAGACCTGGGGGGGACATTACTTGGGGCATTTCTGCTAAACCAAGCGCAGCTGTGACAGCCCGTGATGCACACGCCTGGCAAAAATACTGGAAACGAAAGACCAGGGAGAAATCCAGTGGCAAGAGAGGTCTGGCCATGGCGGAGAGCATCGGAGGCACCCCTCAGCTGCTCCCCCACCCTGGTCCCTGTCCCCCTCATCCCTCTGGGCTGCACCCCGCCACCACTATGGCACTGGATGCGTGGAAAGTGGCAGGAGGCTTGGGGCCGGTGGCATGTGCCTGCGTTCGAAGCATGTAAACAAGTCTATTTTTAAGCAGGAGGTGGTCGGGGAGGGCAAGCCACCTAGGGCCGGGCTGCTCTGCGCCGGCTGGCTTTTTAGCAAGAGGGCTCGAAGTGCAAGTGCGAGTTTCTGCCTTTCCCTATTGCTTTTCAGTGGGGGAAAAACATCAGTTGTAAGCAGGAGAAGCTCTGCAGCAGGAGCGGTGTGGTGGTGGCTTTTCAGGCTCCTCCTGCTCCAGCCCCATCTCCCCCCATGTGTGTCCACAGAGATGGGAACCTCTCCCCAGGACCTATCTGGTCGCACTTTGTGAGCCCTGTAACCTCTTTTTCTTGTCCTCTCTCAGCAAATGTGGATGCCGCTGGCCCTCTGCCTGGCCTGGGCTACCAGGACCCAGCCACGCCGGAGGGAGAAGTTGCCCTGGCCCTGGCCCCGGCCCCGTGCCTGAAGCTCAACGGAGGCCTGACGATGCCAGGGCCACCCAGGAAAGCTGGGGCAAAGCGGAGGCCATGCTGCCAGGGTGATGCTGACGGCGACATTGTCCTGCTCTCCACCGTGTACCCCCGGCATGAGGAGTGCAACCATGGCTTCCCGCTGCCCGCCACCGAGCTGGGGGCCACAGCCCTGGTCACCACAAAAACCACCCAGAACTGTACTGGCGAGGAGAGAGCCTGAGGGAGAGGGGAACGAGGCTGGAGCCCTCTGGCTGCTCCCTGCAGTTGTCCAGAGTGGGCAAAGCCTTGCACGGACGTGAGCTGGCTGAGGACTGGGTTTTGCCTCGAGCAAAATCAGCCTTCTAGGATGACTGCCCTATTCCACTTTCCCATTTGCGCCGAGTCCCAAGTTACGCCTGTGAGCACTGGAGGAAGCCAAAGCGAATCACGCCGAGTTACGCCGAGTTGCTGACAGCTGCCTTGGCTGTGCTGTCAGGAGGAGACAGGAGAGACGTGGCTGGCGAGGACAGAGGGTGGTGGGGGCTGCTGTGCTGTTTGCGAGGCTGCTGTTGCGCCGGGATGGGTTTGCTGCTGGATGGGCAATTCCTGGGGACACAGGACTGGAATAGCAGAAAGAGGAGTGAAAAGGAAGATGGCAAGGGAAGCAGGGAGTTACATTAGAATCAAGTCCCTCATTGCTGCCATTAGCTCGATTTTTGTGACTGACCTCAATAAAAGGAGGCCTGGGGCCATGTGGAGAAAGGCACATTCAGCATCTGCTCCATTCACAGTTCTGTCCCACTCGATCTTCTGCACGCCATAATACCTAGGTCTCTCCTCCCTCTGGGCTCTCTCATGCCATGGCAGGTGTCACCAGCCATCGAGGGGACCCCCTCTGCCGCCAGGTACCCAGGGGATGGGAAATGACTCTGTCTTCCCAAGCAAGGAGCAAGGGAGGGAAGAGAGGGAAAAAAAATCTGTCTTTACTCTGATCTACAGTCACTGAAGTCAGGGAGGACCAGAGGCAGGCAATGGAGACTGCTGGTCTAGAGGAGCTCCATGAGCTTGTCATTACAGCCTCAGACAACCATCAGTTCAGCTCACAGTGGCTGCAGAAATACCACGTGTCACTCGGGATGACAGGGCTCCCGGTGATGGATGTTTCCATGCCATGCAGAACCAGGCAGGGAGTGATGCAAGCGTAGGCGGGATGACTTAATTTATGTGAGTGTCTTCAAGGCTTTGCCTGTGCGCTAGAGCTGGCCGGCGGTGCTCGTCCAAGGCATGTCTCTGTAGATGGCCTTGTTCACCTGCCCATGAGTGGCTTTAGCGTGCAGGAAAGACTCTGCTTTGGAAACAAACTCATTAGTGCAGGATTGCTGTTTCTAGGTACTTACAGCAGCCTATCCCCCTGGCTGAACAGAGCCAGGCCAATGGCTTGGATGAGAAACCCTACTGGCCCCAGAGAGGATGATTTGGCAATTAGAAGTGTCTGGAGGGAGTTAATTGCATGAAGTGCCATCTTGGTGGCAGCCCGGGTGAGCTCTTCCTTCAGCAAGGTCGCCTCCTTGCCCAGGAGGCTTTGGGGGCCAAGCAGAAATGGCCAAGCAAGGTGTGGGAGCACTGCTGCCAAGCACCAGTGAGCCACTAAGAGCCACAGCTCATGGTAGAGTCACCCACTAACTAGTCCCTCTGATGACAGAGAGGTGACTCCTTGCCCAAGACTCAGCTCTCTCTGGGGCTGCAGGACCAGATGCTGCTGTTGAAGTGTGACCCTCCCTCTTCTCCCCTGCCGTGGTACTGGAATCGGGCTGGCAGCATCCATCCCAAAAGGGGAACCACAGGAGGTACCACAGGTGCCAAGGCCCACATTCCTCACTACGACTCCTCTCCCAGACCTAAACACACTGGCAGAGGTAAGCCTTCATCCAACTGAGGCTCCGCATTGCCCAGGGTGGGATGAGTCCCTGTTTCAGCCTCGGGGCTGAGGATGGTGAAGGGGCTGGTCCACATGCCCAGCGACTGTCCTCTGGGGCTCCAGGTGCCTGTGGCTCACTGGCAGGAGCTGTGGAGGCTCCAGCACTGGGTTCCCAGTTATCTGCAGCA